TGAAGCTTTGCTGAGAAGTCTGAAAGTGAAAACAAAATCCTTCAAACATCATATTCTAATTCCAAAAGGAAATTATTTACATGAGGCAAGGCAACTGTAATAATTATTTTGTGGCATTGACAGGTTAGTTAGCTAAAACAAATAGATTAATTAATACATAAATAATAAGCTAAAACCAGATGTGCTTTCAGTTATTTATTTTAATTGGAATTTTGACTACGTATGTTTTGACTATATACATTTGGTTTGTACAATTAGCTGAGAAGATAAAAGTGATAAGTAAATACCTGTAGCTTCAACTCTGATTATCCCACATTGCTTTATTTTTTATCAGCCCTTTAAGTTTATTTAATTTTATTAAATTTTACTCATCATAAAAGCAAAAACAGGGATATTTATTTTATTCTATGATGCACCCCAAGCATCTAGAAATTTTCTCAAATGAAATGTTTTCAATAAATACTTGTGGAATGAATGAATAAAAGCCATTTCATTTTCAGAAGGCTTAGCACTCTAAAGTAAATGTTAGTTTTTAACATATTTTTAAAACCTTTTACTGGGCTTCTTAAGCATCAGGAGTTGCAGTGGACACTGAAGTTCAACAAAATTAGGTGACTTATAAGCTCACATAAAATTTCATGTTATGGGTAAAGCTGGAAGCCAAAAATACTGTACTTAAATTTTTTCAACTCCACTGATTCTTATTGCTTATGTCATCATTGGCTTTTGCTAGATTCTTCAGAGATATTCTTTCTTCTCTGAAGCAAACAGGAGGTAAGTCACATAGGGAGGCATTTGCTTAACTGTGGAAAACAGAAAGATACTTTCTTCCATGTTGATTGAAAATTTATATGTGAGAACAAGTTTTAGGATTACATACATGAGCTGACATTATCACATAATGTTCTTCCCCTGAATTTTCAAAGTGTTCAACTACAATGAGTGGTGATGTTAAGTATTCTATAAACTTGGAAAGGTAAAATTAGAAAAAACATTTAAACATAGTTGAAACTATTTCTTTGGGCCTCTGAACAGCCAATGAAGATTTAATGGAGAGCTGCCTTTCTGTCTTTCCATCCATCGTATAAACTACAGGAAAACCTCTTCCAAAGGAGATAGGGCAATAAAATTTTGGCAAGGTTGCTTTCAAATAATGGTTTTAACTTGAAAGATCATTAAAATTTTTACCTCTTCTCTTAAAAATAGCAAGATTGCTATATATGCTTTGTAGGTATTAAGTGGTCACAGTCTGAAGATAAAGAATTAGTGGTAAGGAGATATATTATATGAAGATTGTAAACATGCCACCTTTGTTGAGTATAGTGACACTGTCACATCACAATAACAAATATATATCCACCTCATATTACAATAGCT